AGAGGGCCGTTGGGGGTGGGGGGGCTGTTTCATGTGGAGATAAAGAGCCCACCAGGCTGAATGGGTCTCTTGAGGCTTCTGAATAGAAGATTTCTTCATTCTGTGTCAGCCGGGTTTATGGGGCGGGGGAAAGGGGATTATGGGAATATTCATGGTCCCAGTGTGGGTGGGGGGGGGGAGAATGGATGCACGGAGCAGCTCATCTTTTGAGTCAACACCGAGTAAATGGGGAGTAGAATGGGCATTCAGAGCCGCCCGCCGGCCGTCTTTCATTGTCGTGGCGCTGGAAGCCGGGGCTTTGTGCCTTTGGTTCTCTGCCGTTCGGATCGCTGTTTAACAGGTGTTGCGAGAATTAGGGATTCGTATCTTTCACTCACTCGACACTGAAAGGCTATCAAAGAGAACGTTGTTTGTGCAGCACCCATCTGGAGCAACTCTTTGGGCAGAGAGGTCAGGAGGAGAGAAAGAAAGGGGGACCGCCGGGGGGCTTTGAGGGGTGTGAGTGACACTTGGGGGCGGCGGCGGGGGGGACACATTGAATGAGAAGGTTCATCCGCTCGGGGACAACAGGAAGATACCGAGAGCAGGCAGGATTTGTCAAGGTGACTCTGCTTCAAAGGTTGCCCTTGATGCCTGGTCGCGAGACCCGGGGGTTAGGCTCCCGGGATCCTGTGTGTGTGTGTCCCCCTCCCCCTGGCAGCAGGGAATTCCTCCGTCCTGTGAGCTCCTGTGTGGCCGGGGCCAAGCGTCACTCCCCAGAGAGAAGCTTCCTCCCGTTGCCGTGCCTGAGAGTACTTGGTCCACTGCTTTTTAACTTGTTCATTAATGATTTGGAGTTGGGAGTAAGCAGTGAAGTGGCTAAATTTGCGGATGATACAAAGTTGTTCAGGGTGGTGAAAACCAGTGAGGATTGTGAGGCACTCCAAGGGGATCTGTCAAGGATGGGCGAGTGGGCGTCAACATGGCAAATGGGGTTCAATGTGGCCAAGTGCAAGGTGATGCACATTGGAGCCAAAAATCCTAACTATAAATACACGTTGATGGGGTCTGAACTGGCAGAGACAGATCAAGAGAGAGATCTTGGAGTTGTAGTGGATAACTCACTGAAAATGTCGAGACAGTGTGTGACTGCAATAAAGAAGGCCAATGCTATGCTGGGGATTATTAGGAAGGGTATTGTAAACAGATCAGCCAATATCATAATGCCCCTCTATAAATCAATGGTGCGACCTCATTTGGAATACTGTGTGCAGTTCTGGTCACCACACCTTAAAAACATAAGAACATAAGAGATGCCAATGTTGGATCAGGCCAAAGGCCCATCCAGTCCAACACTCTGTATCACACAGTGGCCAGAAATACCAGTGCCATCAGGAGGTCCACCAGTTGGGCCAGGACATTAGAAGCCCTACAACTGTTGACCCCCCCAAGCACCAAGATGACAGAGCATCCCCCAGCATAGCATTGGCCTTCTTTATTGCAGTCACACACTGTCTCGACATTTTCAGTGAGTTATCCACTACAACTCCAAGATCTCTCTCTTGCTCAGTCTCTGCCAGTTCAGACCCCATCAATGTGTATTTATATTTAGGATTTTTGGCTCCAATGTGCATCACCTTGCACTTGGCCACATTGAACCCCATTTGCCATGTTGACGCCCACTTGCCCATCTTTGACAGATCCCTTTGGAGTGCCTCACAATCCTCACTGGTTTTCACCACCCTGAACAACTTTGTATCATCCGCAAATTTAGCCACTTCACTGCTTACTCCCAACTCCAAATCATTAATGAACAAGTTAAAAAGCAGTGGACCAAGTACTGATCCCTGTGGTACCCCACTGCTTACCCCCCTCCACTGAGAGAACTGCCCATTTATACTCACTCTCTGTTTTCTATTAATTAGCCAGTTTTTGATCCATAAAAGGACTTGTCCTTTTATCCCATGATTTTTGAGCTTACTTATGAGCCTTTGATGAGGAACTTTATCAAAAGCTTTCTGGAAGTCAAGGTAAACAATATCTATTGGATCCCCCTTGTCCACATGTTTGTTCACCCCCTCAAAGAACACTAATAGGTTAGTGAGACAAGATCTTCCCTTACAGAACCCATGTTGAGTCTGCCTCAATAGGTTTTGTTCATCTATGTGCCTACTAATTCTTTCCTTAATAATGGTTTCCACCAATTTACCCGGTATCGACATCAGACTGACTGGCCTGTAATTTTCCGGATCTCCTCTGGAACCCTTTTTAAAGATGGGAGTGACATTTGCTACCTTCCTGTCCTCATGAATGGAGGCTGATTTTAAGGAAAGATTACATATTTTTGTCAGGAGATCCACAAGTTCACATTTGAGTTCTTTCAGAACTCTCGGATGTATGCCATCTGGGCCTGGTGATTTATCAGTTTTTGAGTTTATCAGTTTTAGGACCTCCTCTCTCGTCACCTCAATCTGACTCAGGTTATTATAGCTTTGGAAAAAGTGCAGAAAAAGGCAACTAGAATGATAAAAGGGTTGGAACACTTTCTCTATGAGGAAAGGTTAAAGCGCTTAGGGCTCTTGAGCTTGGAGAAACGACGACTGATGGGTGACATGATTGAGGTTTATAAGATTATGCATGGGATAGAGCAGGTAGAGAAAGAGGTACTTTTCTCCCTTTCTCACAATAGGAGACCTTGTGGGCACTCCATGAAATTGCTGAGCGGTTGGGTTAGAATGGATAAAAGGAAGTACTTCTTCACCCAAAGAGTGATTAACACATGGAATTCACTGCCACAGGAGGTGGTGGAGGCTACAAGCACGGACGGCTTCAAGAGGGAATTAGATAGGCATTGGAGCAGAGGTCCATCAGTGGCTCTGAGCCACAAGGTATAGATAGGGGCTCTGGGGCAAGTGATGCTCTGTCTTCTTGGTGCTTGGAGGGGGGGGACAACAGTGGGAGGGCTTCTAGTGCCCTGGCCCCACTGGTGGACCTCCTGAGGGCCTCTGGTATTTCTGGCCACTGTGTGACAGAGAGAGTGTTGGACTGGAGGGGCCTTTGGCCTGATCCAACATTGGCATCTCTTATGTACTTATCCCCCCCCCCGGTGACTGCTTGCCTTCTCCATCCATGGGCACAGAGCCCACCCACAGAGGGCACAGAGGGGGAAGGTGGGAGAGGGGTGCCAGCCTCACCCCCGGCAGTTCCTTCCTCCAGAGCATGTGCTTCCTGGGGCCACCCCTCTTTGGTCTGATGCCTGGGGCCTGGGAGTTAGTTTGTTTAGTTTTTTATTTCAGAGCTCAACGCGGTTTACGTCAGTGAACAGTTAACGTCAATTAAAACACATGCATCAGATACATCGATGAAAACAATACAACAAATATTCAACAATGTCCTGTATAATCATATAAAATAATATGAATACGTAAAAGCTGCACTGATGCTTCTGTGTCTTCATAAGCAGTCTGAATGTCTTTGAGCCATAAACACTGGATAAATGCAGATTCTGTGAACTTAGGCAGATCGTGAGAGGGAGGGCAGGAAGGGTTGCCTCAGTGCTTAGTTCTCGTGGCCCTTTTCTGACATGCCCGGGGAAATGCCGATCTCCACTTGGGGGTCAGCACGCAATTTTTCTCCAGGCCGATTTGGCCGGGGATCTTGGAGGGCTTTTTTGTCATCTGGGCATGGAACCAGCAGCCACTGGTGGGGTGTGTGTGTGTGGGGGGGGGGTATTTGTGACTTTCCTGCATTGCGCAGGGGGTCGGACTAGATGACCCTGGAGGTCCCTTCCAACACTGTGATTCTGTGAACGCTGGATAAGATGCAGAAACAGATAACCGCAGTCTGCCACTATACTGGATGTGGACCTGGGCGTCCTTGACTGTCACAACCAGCCGGAAACCTGGGGGTGAGGATGGGATAGGTTTCAGTAAGGGTCCGGCTGGGTTCATAACCTTCCTGGGTGGCTTATAATAAGCCGGGGGGGGGGGTCCCTGTGGGCTTCTCTGAGCCTGGGAGCCTCTTTGGCGTTCTGGCACAGGGTGCTGCGGGGCACCAGCACTGACCGGCGGCCTGGGAGGTGGGCGGAGCCACACACAGAAAGCACAAGTGCAGGCGGAAAGAGGGGTGAGTTTAAAAAATATATGCTGGGAAAGAAGAAGGAGAGGGAACGAAACCAGAGCGGTGGTGGCAGAGCCACTCCTGAGGCGGCGCCGTTTGGTCAGCACAGCCCATCCGAGCCCCGTCCATTTTGCAGAAACAGAAGACTCTGGTGCCGGGGAAGGTCTCAGCGGGCACCATGGGCACCCACGGGCATGGCGTTTGGGAACCCAGCCTGAAGCCCCATAAGGCGCGGCAGGTTTACAGCTAGCCTGTCTCAGTCTCTGCTTTGAGACTCTGGAGCCCGTGTGGGGCAGAGATCTCCTCCACTGCACCAACCAGCCAGCTCTTCTGCGGGCTGTGAAACAGCACAAACTCTTAAGCTCTGTATAGACTGCCTTGGTCAGGCCGCACCTGGAGTCCTCCTGTGTGCAGTTCTGGGGGCCTCACTTCAGATAGGGTGTGGGCAAAATCGAGGAGAGGGTGCAGAAGAGAGCGAGGAGGAGGATCGGGGGTCTGGGGACTGAGCCCTGCGAGGAAAGGCCTTGAGGGCCCTGGGAATGTTGAGTTTGGAGAAGGGGGGGGGGACAGGATGGCTCTTTTTAAATATCTGAAAGGCTGTCATGTGGAGGAGGGCAAGGAGCCATTCCACTAGGCAGCGGAGGAGAGGATCCTTTTTCTCGCCAGTGAATAACCACTGTCTTCCTCCCCCCCCCGCAAAAAGCCCCCCCCCCCAGGATTGGAGCTTGGAGAACTTTTAGGAGGCCAGGTGCCAGGCGGGTCTCGGCACACATCAGAAGAGGGGAATCCTTTGCCACTGAGCCCCCCAAGGGGCGGGGGGGGCTCCTCTCCAGGCCAGCCCACAGTCAGCTCCGGGAGAGATGGTTTCATGGTCCTGACAGCTGCCTGCTCCTCTTTTCCAGAAACAGTCCGGGAGATCCAAGAAAAACTTGAAGCCTTCATTGAAGCCCTCCACCAAGAAGAGAAATAGAAGGTTCAGCGAGGTGAGCGACTTTTCCCGGAGGGCAGGCGACTGCAGAGCCCCCTGAGCTGGGCGGGCCGGCCCCTTTTCTTTTGGGGCCATGGCTTCTGGAGTCCATTTGAGCCCTTCTCTGCCAGAAGCAGGGAGTCCCACCCTTCACCTTTGCCGAAGTCCCAGCCACCCACCTGTTCATGGGTGGGACAGGGGCCAGGGGGAACGGCTTCGTCTTACGAGCCTTGGCTTGTTGACCCTCTCAGGGGCCCTCTGAGGTGGGCAGAGCCGGGAGAATGGCTCCCCGGCTGAGGAGGGGCTCGAACCCGGCTCTCCTGGAACCGGAGCAGTGCTCCTGGCAGTGGCATCCTGTGGGGAGTCCCTCCCTCTCGCTGCCTGTCCCTTTGGGGCCCCACCTTCTGCTTGTGGCGTTCTTGCTGCCGCCGCCACCGCCTTCCCTGTGCACAGCCTCCTCGGGCCTGAGAGGATGGTGACAGGCGGCCTGGGAGGAGGGCTGCCCATTCCAGGCTGGGGAGGGCAGAGTTCACGTGAGGGGGGGGAGCTCAGCAGGGGTGGGGTTGCCTGCCACAGAGTCCGTCCTTCAAAACTGCCATTGAGAGCCAGTCTGGTGTCGTGGTGAGGAGCGCAGACTCTAATCTGGGAGAACCGAGTTTGATTCCCCACTCCTCCTCCATGTGCAGCTAGCTGGGTGACCTCGGGCCAGTCACAAGTTCTCTCAGAGCTGTTCTCTCACAAGCAGTTCTGTCAAGAGCTCTCTCAGCCCCACCGACCTCCCAGGGTGTCTGTTTTGGGGAGGGGGGGGGGAAAGGAGTTTGTCAGCCGCTCTGAGACTCCGAGTGAAAGCGGCAGGGTATAAATCCCATCTCCTCCTCCTCCTCCTCCATGTTCTCCAGGGGAACCGATCTCTGTCGTCTGCCAATCAGTTGTAATTCGGAGAGAA